ATTCATTGTTGCCAACCATGGAAATATTCGGCGCCAAGCTGACTCACTCGAATTAAAATTTTCCGTTGGGGACTTAGGTGGTAGCTTTGCTGTAAAAAATGTCAATTTGCCGCATTTATTTATTTATTCTCTGATATTATCAATGGTTTTGACACTTTTAGGTTTGTATTACGAGTTTTTGGTTTAAATGAATTTGTATTGTGATACTTTAAGCTTAAAAAAAATTACTAGCAAACCTTGCAGTTGAACATTGTTCTTTTAAGATCCCCTTTTAGTGCAAAATGTACAAGATAGCTTAATAGCCGTAAAAAACTCATTGCAACTTTATTAGAATATTTTGAACGGGAAAGCGGTAGTAATGGTTCTTTATGTCCCTTAAGTACTGTTAAGGAGGTGAGTTTTGTTGATGTAAATAATAACTGCTTATGTATTTGGAGTTTCTCCGACTGATCCTTAACGGAAAAATCGAAAAAAAAAGGATTGGACGCAAGGGGCTTTCGTGGTTGAGGAACTTGCGGCAATGGATAGGCTTGAGCGCGGATAAATTACTCCATGTAGAGCAAGATCGAGAGCGATACAGAGATATTGTTAACATGGCAGTCGTCAACGTTCACTAAGAATATGACACTTGAAGAAGAAGATATATTTATAATTAATTTATTTTTGTTTCCTAAAATATTTTGATTAAAAGAAAATATGTAAAAGTGATCAACGCTGCACTGTGCCGGTTATATGAACATATATTATTTACTAGCGTGTACCAGCGACTTCGTTCGCGTTAAACCAAACCAAAACACCCTGTATGATTTTTTAAAAAATTTCAAAATATGTAAAAAAAAATAAATTATGCTTGTCCAAGCGTTTTCCCGAAAGAGTAACCGTTTTTTAATTAACAAATATTGTAATATTTGAGGGGCGTTTTCACCCTCTTGGAATTTCAGATTCGAGAAACCCCTCCTTATCGAACCTCTACACCCCACAGTCAATCCCTTTGCCAAAAATCAGCTTTAAACGTCAAGCAGTCAAAGCAGAAGCGTGATTACTCAATGGTCTCATTTTATGAAACACCCTGTATAAATTTATAAAAAATCTTAAAATATGTAAAAAAACAAAATAAAATATACGTGTTTAAGCGTTTTTTCGGAAACTTGACCGTTTTTTAATTAAAAAATATTGTAATATTTGAGGGGTGGTTTCACCCTCTTGGAACTGGAATTTCGAAAAATCCCTTCTTATCGAACCTCTACACCCTATAATCAACCTGTATGCCAAAATTGAGCTTCTAACGTTGAGTGGTTTGAGCAGGATCGTGATTAATCAGTATGTCAGTCACTTAAGGATTTTATAGGTACCTATATTAGTATAGATTTAAAATTGAGAAGCTTGTGATTTTTTATTTAAAAAATTAATATTTAAATAAAAAAAAGTAAAACGTTTAGAGACACGTTATCCATTCAGATGCTAATAAATTTATTATTTATTGAGAATATTAAATAATTTAAAAAAAATCTTATGTCAATTTTAAAGAACACATCTAGGGATCAGTTATACAGAAATTATAATAGATCTTCATTTAAAAAGCCACTTTCGATGCGGCCATATCGACTAAATATAATACAGCCTTTATATCATAAAATCGAAACAAATCGTTGTCATAGATGGCTTGTAAATGAAAAACACTTCAAAATAAAACACTAATCATCATAATATACCAAAACACTTTTAAACATACGTTTACTTTTACATTGGACGCGCGTTTCGCTAACTAACTGTAAAACTCAACTCAGTTTTAATCATCTGCTGATGATGCTGACATGGTTCGAAACATTCAATTCATTACAATTGGGGATTGTAACACCAAAGGTTTGAACCTATAGGACGGATGCGTCGCGTGATTTCCAAGCCAACTGAACGTCGTTTTTTTCAGTACTTACGGTATACATATTTTATTTGAGATTATAAACTCATTTTTATTTGCAAACATATTTTACTACGTCACTGCTATTATCAGGACAAAGGAATATAACTCTTCGCAAATAATTTTACAATTTTAGGACCCCTTTTACTGGATTTCAAACCTTTTAAATTAGGGTTAGTTGTAAAGTAATCGGCAATATACATTTTTATTGTTGCAAAATGTTGTAGGCGGTCTGTTTAAATTTTATTTGTAAGCAGTACCTCCCTAATCCTATAGTTCGTTAATTTCTATGTTAAACAGTCTTTAGGAAGGGTTTAATTCTGAATTAGGGCTAGAGGTGTGGTTGCCTGGTATTATAATAATTATAAGGGTATTTCTTGGTGTTAATATTCCGTATTTAAAGGAAAATATTTTAAATAGAACATCATAATGCACAGCTATTTATAACTTTTAATTTTTTTTTAGAGATGCATATGTTTATTATACATAGTGTTCGCAAAAAAGTTAGTAAAAAGTGGAAAAATATGGTATTGAAAAATGGGGTATCTAATATGATATTGAGAAGTATGCAAGAGACATTTATTTACCAGTTCTCTCACAGAATATATACTACGATATACAGGGTGCGTCTTAAATAAGGGCAGATATTTTCAGGGCTGGTAGATCTCGATAAAAGAAATATATTTTTTCTTTACCGTTTTCAGGCGTTTTCCAAATAAGTCCAAAATAACCGAGTTATTTTACTTTGAATATTTAAAAAAAAAAAGATTTTTCGCTTAAATTTTGAGAACTACTAAACCTTTTCTGTGTTTGCTATCTTAATTATTAAATTTAATCTACTGCATATGTTGATCATCTGCTGATTAGCCAGAAATTATGTTTTTGAACTAAAAGCAAAAAAAAATCCAAATCAAAAAAGTTATTTTTTCAGTCTTATGGAGCCGGGCTCACATGCAATCAAATAGTCGGCCGATCACTCTATAAAAATGTATTATTTTCACTTTTGCCTGTGTGCTGACAAAGAATTTTTAGTCAGCCGACTGTTTAGTTGCAGGTTTGCAACCAATGTATTCTTATGGAGCCTGGCTTCCATACAGTCAAATAGTCGATGAGACTATAAATGCTCTGTCAGCGTATGGGCTTATAAGTATATATAAAATTTTTCACCATTTATCTAAAAGTTTAAAAAAATGGCTAAAACTACATAAACTAAATCCAACAAGAACAACTCCTTGTAAATAGTTTTTCATTTTTAAACACTGGTTTTCTGTTTTCTTTTTCAACTAATTTAAATATGACAGAATAATAATATGTATAAGATACCAAACTATACTTGTAAGGTATATTTTAATTACTAATTTAATTTTTACAGCATATTGCTACAGTATGTCCCTGGATTGTCTCTATAAAGGTGCGTTTACAGTGGCGCCCCTTGGAAGCGCACTTTTAAAGTACTAAATAAAAGCAAAAATGCAAGAAAAAAATATAATTAGTTAATTTTAAGTGAATTTCATAAATGATCGGTTTATTACACGTATGCCGTATTATATTATAGTCACTTACTAGCGAAAAGATATTCCATTATTTCCCTCGATTGTTAGGTAGATGCACGCTACACAACCATCTATTTTATAGTCTTTTATATATATCACTGTTAATTTAAGTGCTGCCACAAAAAAAATCCTTCTAGATTTATTACCTCTAAACAACTATCAGTAGTAGAATAAATAATAAATAACATAAAATAAGCTCAGTAAAGACTGACAAATCCACAAAATTTCAAATCAAATTCAAAAAACGTGTCAAATGAGTTGTCATACAGATCTGTCAAGGATCCCCACCCTAGAGTTCTCTTCTTTGGTCCTCTTTCCGTCGACCATGCATGAATACATGGATAGAATTATACTCCTTCCTTAATCTATCTATGAAAGAATTAAATATAAATTATATTACCATATAGAAGCGCCTTTTGATTTTTAGGACTTTAGGAAAAATTCAACCATAACTTCATGCTTTTTTTAATTTTCTCTAAAACGGCATGGAAAATTAAAAAAGTAGAAACGGGTTAACCATTTTAGAAGAAACAAAATTTTTTTGTGAAGAATGTATTTTTCTCAAAATGTCAACAACAAAAAAGTTTTTCCTCTTGTAAAGATAATCCGGGGACATACTGTATATTGAGATAATGAAGAAAAATTAAACATTGGAGATTTTTTGTCATGGTCTGGTTTGGTTTGGTTTGACTATTGATATGACAAAAAACATGACTAAAAAACTTCAGTGGCGTTTCATATGGAGCGTATCGTCCGTCCTGCGGTGCTATAATTACATCATTCGCAACTTTGCATGTATTGTTATATGGCTTTCTCGGAGATGCCAGTGATATTTAAAGATGCGACTGATCAAGAATAAGCACGCTGACCGTCAGCAAATTCGCACAAGTACGTATGAGTCACTTATGAGTTTATTTGAATATTTTCACGTGGGCGCGTATGATCCGTCCGGATGATTTTGTCCACGCAGACACGCAGACAATCCGTTGCTACTGATATGTTCAGAGGCTTTTTTTTAAAATGCTATGTAGTCATGTGAGTTTGCCCATGACTTATCATATATGTAATTTTTTTCATTTAGAGGGTGATTGATTCTGCACTAACTTCTTTCAATAACTAAATAATAAAATATTTGTTTATTTGTTCCGATTTTTTGGCGGGCGCTCTACATTAATACATCATATATCATTATACTTAAAAAAACATTATATAGTTTTTATACAAAAAAAAAGATAAACTATATAAATATAATTGAAAGAAAAGAGACAGACCCGAAAAAATGGCCTCCAATGACATGCTTCGGCGTACTTAACAAATTTATGACATCCATCATCATAAACCACCATAAACCGAGCAAAATGACCCCCAAGTGTCCCAGGTACGAAGTGGAGGGGTCATCTTCAACTTGCTGTCAACGATATTGAAAAATTGTCATTCGTCGAAGTCAACTTGTCTCAACGACACGTCTAAAAATTCCGCTTTTTTTCCCGAAGTTCAGTTTCATATAAAGTAGTAACTTTATCTTTAAAATGGAAGCCGTTGGAAACTCATCCAAAATCTTAGAAGAGCTCCTGTCTTTACCAGAAAACAGAAAAATTCGAAAACCATTAATGGAGAAGAAGAGGCGTGCAAGAATCAATGAAAGTTTGGAAACTTTGAAAAATATCCTGTTAGAATGTGATCCAGATTTGGCCAATCGTGCCACTCCCAAAGGTTCGAAGCTGGAAAAGGCCGATATACTAGAAATGACTGTAAACTTTTTGAGAAGAATTAAAAGAAGACCTCAGCCATATCCACATGCTGCGCCAGGCTGTTTTCCTAATCCTGCGTTGATCAATTATTCGCCGATGTATTCAAAATCCATGCGCGTGCAGAATATTCAGTATCAGCCCGCACTACCTATATTAAACCAAGCACAACTCCCATACATGTACCCGTATGCTGGTAATAACCCTAAACTGCAATTTGTTCCGGATTCTTCGTCATTATCCTGCTCTACTGCAAGTCCACTGATTGAAAAGACAGTTCAAAATCAAGCTCAACCTGTCTCTTGTCCTGCATCTCCTGAGTTACATCATCAAGTAGTTTCATCAACAAGTACAGAAGAAAATGGACACTTAGATGAATCCTGGGATAGCTGTGTGGACGTCGATGAAGACAGCGAAGAGGTATGGAGACCTTGGTAAACTTTGTTTAGATTTTTTGACTATTGAATTATTTTGTGTTCGTAGTCTTTTAATATTCCTAGTCATTTGTAAATATGATTAATTAGATATGTGTAAATTAATTATTGTATAACTATTTTTTCCATTTTGTTAAGGTAATGCCAGTTATTAAAATTTTAATTATAACATTGTATAATAGGTATATTAAAATATCTAGTCATATATTAAAACATTGTAGGTATTTCTGTATTTTCTATACCTTTATAATAACTACGTCGATTGCAATTACTTAATTTATGTGTAAATATATATGTGTATTAAATGATTTTTAAAAAATAACTTCTGTGGATTTAATTTCATCTTATTATTAAAAATATATCTTCTTAAAAATACCTATGATAAAAAAAACGACGTTAGAGTTGGCTGGGAAATGTCATCAAAATTTATTTCCTAGCTAACTTAAATCCTTTCTTTTCCGTCATATGGTATATTCATACACTGGTAATTAGGTCTAAAAATAATAATAGAAAAAAAACAGATTAAACAATAATTCCTAAACTTATGGAAAAATCTGCCTTAAAATATAATAATTTGCCTTAATTCATAATTTCAGTTTCTTAAATATAACGTAAAAATTACTATTTAAAAATCTTTGATTTAAATTAAATAAATTACATTTTTATTTTAAATTTTATTTTTCGAAAGAAAACATAAAGCTTATATTGCTAAAAAGCTTAAAAAATGACGCTTTTTATGAAGTCATGACGAACTATGGCTTCCATTAAAAAAAAGGTTTATGTCATATGTCAAAAATGACAGATTTAAAAAAAAAAACGGAGAACACAATCTCATTAATTCGACATTAAGGATGTGATTATCTATCATCAGCAAACTTTTATAATGGAATCAGTAAGCATTTTTAAAATAGCCGAAATTTGTTTTTTTTCAAATATCTAGTAAGCCATAAACTTTTTCAAAAATCCGACAGGCGCAAATATTTGACCTTACAAAAACTGCAATTCTTTCCACATTTGACTGACTCTCTAGCTCTCCAGTAGTTTCCGAGATACCCGTAGGAACATCGTAGAAACACACCCTGTATAATATTTAATAAGAAGTTTTTAACTTCTTAATGTTAAAAAAATTATTGTTTTTTCAATGTTTCGTATTTTTTAAAACTTGCTTTAAATTTATACAGGGGTACCAAAAGTTGCTGATGTATTTTAAATATTTATTTTGCATAAAAACTTTATTATTTCAGATACAACACCCTATGTTTTTTAAAATAAATCAAGACAGATTTAAATGCTCTTTTAAATTACATTAGCCTGTATACATTAAACGAAGCAATCAAATTTTCCAGTAAAGTTTATTTCTCTGGCTTAAAAGTGAGCACAAGAATTAATTCTGAAAAGCAATGTACAGGGTGTTGACAATTTTTTTTACTATAGCATAGGTACATGTTTAAATATTTGTAAATATCTTAAAAACGAAAGCTTGTAAACATGTTTAACCCTTATAATAAATGCCTTATTTTGTGTCTAAGGATCCAAATATGAAATGAAATACCGGGTGTTCCATAAAAAAAGCTTTGTTCCATAAAAAAAAATATAACTTTGGTTTGGATCTTAGTTCTGACATAATCTGTTATGTATATTTCAAAATAATTTTAAATTATGCACATATACCCATAAAATATTTTGTTTCTACATCTTTCCGTTTTCGTATAATCAACCGATGCGAATGTGGTGCGCCACCCTGTATTTATTTATATTTTTACTAAGTTATTAAGTTAGTTTTATGTTATGTGATGGTGTTTGATACAAAAGTATTACAGAAGCAGCAGTCATACATTACTGACCTCTACAGATGCCTGAGTAATACCTTTATTATTTAAAGATAATTGGATTAAGAAAGCCTTTTTTTGTTTAGAGGCCTTCGGTTCGTTCATTATAACTTTTGCATTGTCTCTGTATCCTGTGTCCCATGAATGTTGACAAATCTTATATTTGCGACAACCTCCATTTTTAAATAATTCGTATGGTTTTTAATTCGAAAATGTTAACAAAAAAAAAAGTTGGTTGAAGAAATTTAATAATAAGAAGTAGGTACCATCGATAGAAAAAAAACGGCGTTGAAGACGGCTGGGGAATGACAATCGATGATTATTTTGACGAGGTCAAGCCCTAGACGTCATTACTTGGCCTGTACTCTTCTTTTTATTTTTTAACTGCCAGGTGGCTTTATGAAGGTTCTAATTTATTTTCAAATTGAGTAAAAACGATTTTTAAATGGTGAAGTTTAAAATTTGCGAAAAAATATTTTTTTGGAAATACGTAGATTTGTCGATTTGTGTGTCTGGAAACGTTCTATCCTTTTTTGGTCTTTGTATCATTAGTTGTTCATTTTGACAAGTTTTAGTAAGTGACGTCTAGAGATTGACCTCGCCAAAATTATCATCGATTCTCATTCCCCATTTGACGCCGTTTTTTTCGATCATATTATCAAAAACCTTTCTATCTGAAGGTGTAAGGTATACTAAATTAAATAAATTCACTTAATTGCTACACTATACACAAATTGTTTCCATTTATTTTTGTCTCTTGCTAAACTTTTGGCTTCTGTTAATGTTAGTCCTCTATCCTGCAGTATCTTCTCTATTGTGTCATTCCATGTTTTAGTTGGTCTTCCCCTTGGTCTCTTTCCCTGCATTTTAGCTTTTTTCGATCATACGGTGTAATAAATAATTTCTTTCTTTAATTTTTTACATTGCTCTTTGTGCGGCGAAATATTCAGGTTTTTTAAAGAAATAATGTTAATATTAATTATACGGGGTGAGTCTCAAAAGTGGCTCACCCCCTATAACTTTTTTATTTTTTCAGATAAACAAACGAGATTTGGTATGTTAGTATATGACATAAATTAGGACTGACTAACGTTTTCAATTGTTTTCGACCACTTCCTGTTTAACCGGAAATGACTACAACTTTTGATTTTTAAATGGCACCCTCGGTATTTTTATACTTTATTTGACAGAAAATAACATTCTGAATAGAATGCCATATCATATGTCAACTTTTGACATACCTACTCGCTTAATAAAAAAATTGTATTTTAAATTTCAATCTAGAGGGCCATGGCTATGTTAAAAACACTAATTTTTAATCAAGAAGTCTTGGAAAATACATTTATCGTCTAATGTTTTTAGTGTCTTCTCCTGACCGGTTAAAAGATGCCCAAATCGTATTTATAATCATATCTCATTTTTTTCAAATGGAACGAGGGTGGCTCATTATCATATTTGGAAAAAGCATTTTTTTTACAAATAATTTGATACCACGCACTTGGTTTTCGACTCAAGTTTGTTATGAACCACATGTTACAATTTCAAATAAACCATATTCGAAAATGCCAAAAGTTGACATATGATATGTCATTCTATTCAGAGTGACATTTTCTATCGAATAAAGTAGAAAAAACCCGAGAGTGCCATTTAAAAATCAAAAGTTGTATTCATTTCCGGTGAAACAGGAAGTGACCGAAAACAATTGAATACGTCATTCAATCCTAATTTATGTCATATACTAACATACCAAATCGAGTTTTTTCGTATCTGAAAAAATAAAAAAGTTATAGGGGTGAGCCACTTATGAGACGCACCCGGTATAATAATGTTAATAATATTATTATAGTTTTTAAGTTATTCTAAGTTTTGACATTACATGAATTTGTCAAAAAATATACTCGTATGTGTAGCTTTTTTCCTACTTTTAAAATCGAAAAGCCGAACTCCATCCATCCGAATTTTATTAGGGTCATAAAGAAATTATCAACTTTCAAAGCAAACTTTCGGCATGCTTTGAGGATCGTTTTTATAGTCCTGAATGTTCATAGAGCAGAATAGGAATGATTATGGCATTCAGGTAGACGTTTGGCGGACGGCTGGAGCGATTTAAGCAGGCCCTGTCATTAAAGAGTACATTTTTTTAAAATAAAAATGAACAAATATAATAATAAAAATTTATAAACCAGGTACTAAGGGAATACGTCTTAAAAGTGAAGAAAAAACTAAAGTCTCTCTTATAGTAATAATTGCCGGTCGGTGGAATAATTAACTTTTTAAGGTAATTTTTTCGAAATCTTGGATTTAAAATTTAAAGAAGATATTGAGAAATCCATCTTCCTGAAACCCTTGTGGTATTTAACTCAATGACTCATTACATGCCGTTTCTTTCGTGGAAGTTGGCGATAACATCGGTAAATCCTTGACAAATCTCGGCTTTTCTTATGAGTTCTTCAAAAGTAATATTGGACTCACTATTTCTAATGTTTCTCATCCAAGATAACACGTGATATTTTTGATTTCTCAGCATATGCTGAGATTTTTCAGTGTCGCAGTATATGCGCTTTTACAAATGACGTCAAGTAATGTAGCCACTTGGCGATAGGTCCAGGAACCTCGTTGGACATTATACTGCTCTGCCATTTCCAATCCATCTTCTGGGAAAATTATTTGATTTTTTATATTATATGTATTATATTTATATTAATTATTTTTATTATTAAGTTTGAAAGCTTATCAATATTGTAACGATAAATAGATTAAATATTTAAAAAAAAACAGAGCCGGACTTGAAATTAGTTTAAATAAATTGTGTGCAAATGTCAAAATAAAAAAAATATTGAAGTGTGACATATCATTGTACTCAGGTGACCGAGTTCTTTCAAAATCTGAAATAAAAAATGCAGGTCCGTATTTAAAAAAATTAAGTTGGCCTCTGTATCTCACAAATTATCAGCTAATTTGAAAATCTAAAAATACTATCAGATAGCCCCAATAAAGTGGCTATGAGAACGTGCAATTAGTTTTTGATTCTCTAAAAAGCGACGACAGGAAAAAATAAAATTGATTTTCAAAAAAATTCGTTTTTTCCAAAAAACTCAGCAATCCTTGAAATTTTTAAAACTTTTTTGATTTCATTTTGGTGAACATCCCAGTGCAACTTTGCCCCAATTTAACC